TTTTCAGGTGTCCTGGGGTTCGATAGCGGGCCCCAGTGGCCGAAGTCGAGGATTAGCGCCGAAGTGGGCAAAACACACACAGTCCAGACGCTGAGACAGGTACCACTCTGGGGGGCTCTTCTCCTCTGTCTGCTCCTCAGATCTGGGTCGTGGAACCCATTCGTGGCCGAGGCTCGCCGTGGCCAGGAAGGCACCTTCGTTGCTTCTCCTGTGCTCCCCGTGGTAGCAGGATACCCACATCGTCGGAGGTCTGGGAATCCCTGCTGCCGGCCCTTGCCCGCGCTGCGCCCGCCGCCCGCCACACTATGGTGCCAGCCCCTCTCCTGCAGAGCATGCTGGACCGCACCGCCAGCAGCCCCCTCGGCGCCCCGGACGTCGTGGGCGGGAAACGTGTGGGGGCTTCAGAGGCGGGGGTCAGTGCAAAGGGACTCGAGAGGCGGGGGTCCATGCAAACGGGGGTCAGCCAGAGCGCCGTATCCTGCAGGACCCTGCAGCGCCAGGGGTGCACTGACGCGGCCCGGGCTGGGGCGCAGGAGCCTGCAGGATCCTGCAGGATCCTGCAGGATCTTGCAGAGCTCGACTGGCCCGGGCCTGGATTGACCTGGGCCAGTAGACCCCCAAACATGACCAGCTCCACGGCCTCGCGGGCGGGGCCCCTGGGCCGCGGCCCTGTGGATAATTGCGGGGCGCTTCTTCGCGGAGGCGCCGCGCGGAACGCACCCGTGCGACCGCGCGCCCACGGGGTCGCGCCCGGAGTCCCGGGCTGCGAGGGCATGGACATGGCCTCGGACTTTCCGCCCACTGCCCGGGGCGGGAGTATTTGTCCCTGACCACCGCCTGGGGGATCGATCTTCGCGGACCTCCACAGGCGGTGGATATGGATATACTTTGGCCCCCGGGGGCCAGCATATATGGTCCCGGGCTCCGGGCCCACGGGCCCCCCCCCCCCCCAGATGGTATGGTCCCAGGATTCCTCGGACCCCCCCCAGATGGTATGGTCCCAGAGACGACGATGACGACGACGACGACGACGACGACGACGACGACGAAAACGACGACGGCGACGGCGACGGCGACGGCGACGGCGACGGCGACGGCGACGGCGACGACTACAACGACGGCGACGACGACGACGACGACCACGACGACGACGCCGGCGGCGGCGGCGGCGACGACGACGATGATGACGATGACGACGGCGACGACGACGATGACGACGACGACGAGGACGAGGACGACGAGGACGACGACGACGACGACGACGACGACCTCTGAACCACCACAGCACCGCACCACATCCACAGGGGGGGGGGGGGAGGGGGGCACCGCAGCGCAGCACCACGCCACGCCCACCTCTGAACCACCACAGCACCACACCACATCCACAGGGGGGGGAGGGAGGCACCGCAGCGCAGCACCACGCAACGCCCACAGGGGGGGGCGGGGGGGACCATCGCGCGGGGGGGGGCCCAATGGCATCAGCATTGGGGGGAGGGGGCAAGCCCTGGACCAGATATCCATGTCCACCGCCCGCTGGGGCACGAGGACGTCCGTTCCCAGACGTTGGATATGGATAAGCCCCCGCCTCCCGCACGGTTCCCCGCCTCGCCCGCCTCTGGCCTCCCGCCCGGAACGACCTCGAGCACGCCCGGGAACGGCCTCTCGGCGAGGCGCAGCTGCTGGGTAAAGACCGCCCCGGGGCCCAGGGCCCTCCGAGCACGCCCGAGCACGCCCGAGCACGCCCGAGCACTTCGAGCCTCGAACGCGGCCGCCGCTCGCGAGGACGACCCCGGCCCCCTCAAGCGCACCATGACGAGCACCACCACCGCGTCCTTCGCCGCCGGCTCCGACAGCCGCTCGGAGGCGGCGTCGGACAGCGCGGAGGAGCTCCTGGCCTCCCTGGCGGCCTCCCCCGCGCTGGGGCGCCCGAGCGGCGCGCCCGCGCGGACGCGGCTGAGCTCCAAGGCTCCGAGGGAGGAAAGGTGGCATAGGCGTCAAGTTTCCGACCTCCTCGCGGTCTTCGCTGGGCCCCCTGCCCCCTGGCGGCGCCTCTGGCGCCGCCCCAGAAACGGCACAGGCGTTCATTTTCTGAGCTCCTCGCGGGCTTCGCTGGGCCATCCGCCTGGCGGCGCCTCCGGCGCCGCCCCTGGTGCACTCTGCGCGCCAGAGGGGGGCCCAGGGTCGATCCAAGATAGTTAACGCAATGAAGCGATTAAGAACCCTCCCCTTCCGGTGAAACGATAACGCATCCAGCACCCAGAAGCGTTATCCTGGCACCCTGATGGAATTGAGGAGGAGGAGGAGGAGGAGGAGGAGGCGGAGGAGGAGGAGGACGACGAAGAACAATACGAAACAGAAGAGGAGGAGGAGGAGGAGGAGGAGGAGGAGGAGGAGGAGGGGAAGGAGGGGCTTACGCTCAGCCCGTTCTATCTTCTTCTGCAGGCTGCCGCGTGGGTGCCTCCCGCCGCCGCCGCCGCGGCGCACCACGGCCCCTCGGGTAGCGGAGGGGCAAGCCGGGCAGGAGAGGCCCCTTCCGGGCGCACCGGGTGCTGCCGGAAGTGCCCCTGGCCCAAGGTGCCCCCAGGATTTCCAAGGAGGTCCCCACGGCCTCCAGAGCACCCCATCACGAGGCCCAGAGGGCCTCAGGGGGCTCCAGGGTGGAGCGAGAAGCCGGGGGCACTGGGGGCCAGGGGCATCTTTTCGCAGCCCCCGAGGCGCCCAGCCGTAGGCGGGCCCTGAGACCCGGGCGGCGCAGCAGAAATCGCCAGGGACGGTGTTTCGCTACGACTACTACTACTA